AACTCCGCCATTCTTTTTACGTACCACTCATTAACCATTTGTACTATCAACCGGGTTCTAAATTTCCGGGTACCTCTAGTGCAGGATGTTCGGTTATCTTTGGAAATAGTTATGTTGCGGATGAATCACTGACCTTTCGATGTGTCAGAGTGGGTGCATATGGCAAGTGCCTAGCAAATCTAACACATTGCGCTTCACGTATGCTTGGGGATCCGGATTCCTGCATTAGTGCATATCTACCAGTCAGATACCTGTTGAAGTTGACTTACTTTTAACTCGCTTTGATCTACTAACTGGCCGCACTGGTCACATACAAAGGAATGAGAAAAGTAGGAATTATTCACCGGAATGCTTATTCTTAAAGCTTTACGCCGTGTAATTCAATGAGGATGACCTATTTATCCGTGCCGTACACAAGTCCCATTTATACTGTGTCTATCAATTGATCAAATTACTATCCGGTGAATTTGCTTTCCTGTTATATCGTCAAGGTGGTCAAAGGTATAACAACGGACAGCCCCCAATCTGTCTGGAAAGATCAAAATATCTTTCACATGTTTGCTTAGCTATCGCAGTGGAGCACATGTTCCGATGGGAGCTACAGGTATGGGTAACCACATCAGTGTCTGGAAGTGCATATTTTCGAATAGATGAAAATTAATTGAAATGCTGCTGTCTAAACTACGCCTATTGTCCTCTATTTTTGCGGTCCAGCTATTTAATTACATACCAGCCCCGCATTTTAGTTTATTAACCTACCAGCAGACTTGTAGATTAATAAAACAGAAATACCAAATCCACTCCAACAGTTTCAACCAGAAGAGAAATTTTTAATTTATGCAGATGCGACCAATAGATTAAAGTCACGTAATTATACATTTTTTATCTAATATGGCAAGATTGCTGAAAAGCTGAATCAGCCTGTGCGTCTTTATTCCCAAACGGCATTTTTCGCATTGTGACGTGGGTATTCAGCTGCTTCTATTGGTAGTTGTGATCACAGTAACGTTGATACTTTTCTTCCGACTAGGTTTTGTTTGCAAACCTCTGTTACGTGCTAGCCACTTTATGGTTTACATGAGATCAACAAAAAGCCCGCCGCATTACAATGCGATCATGTGCACAGTTTTGTGCATGTGCCATCAAGTCTCACGGGTACTATCTACATTCATAACTACTGCAGTGTGCTTTTTTGCATTGGTCATGCAACATTATCTTGGCTGCTTAAGGTAGCTTGAAAATGCAGCAAACAAAGCAAATAAAAGCAAATCAACCGTTGTGAAGGAAATTTATAAACTTCGACATTTCGTTTTCCTTCAAACATTTGGAGCGTACCTGAGGTTCTGCTCGGAATACGCTACTCAAGACGGACGGTGCTGACAGATGTGCACTCACACCACCCTCTATGGTGCATAGTACAAGGTAACTAAGCGCGTTAACCTCTTCTTATAGTTTGGCTACATTTTGGGTTGAAAGCCTCAGGAGTGTTCAGTGGACGCCATCGTTTTCTGTGAAGTTCTCACATATGCTTATCAGATCCTGGAAAACGTGAACCACTCTAGTCAACATACTTTGAAAATCTCACAAAATCCCTGTTAGGCCGTCAAATCAATTTGACCAATCACAGCAGCCAGCTGCAAGCTTGATGGCATTTTTTCTCCCTTCGGGTAGCGCGGCTGTCGAACACCCTTTTCTCAACTTAGTTAGAACTATTACTTTATCAGTGGGATCACGCAAGCCGTCCGTTTATGCTCATACATTGCTTACCCTTTCTAAAGCAAACGTTTCCGAAGGCACGATTCAGTTATCATCCTCATTTCCCAAAGAGACAATGTGCGCATATATCTTGTTATCACGCAAATCGATGTCAAATGTATGTTTAACTAAAGATGTGCTATATCTCTATAATGATCAATGTTACTGACGCTGTCTGAGTTATACTGCTGCCCCGGATTCAGATAATGCTGGCTTTATTTTTGCACCACAACGGTAATTTAATTGGAAAATGTGCATCTTGGAGAAAGCATGAAGTCATTAAGTGGTCATCGCGATGACATTTTCCTGGAAATCCGGCCAATATTTTCAATGTCGTACTGGCGGTTTCGCTGACAGGATGTTCTTACATTTGGCTCATTTTCTCCTTTTAGCTTGCCGTATAAACTGGACAAATTTAATTAACCCGTTGTGCGTTTAGGTTACTCTCATTTAGTGCTTTAGGTTTGTAGACACTATATAATGAAGCTCCACTTCATTTTGTAGCCATACTTAAGCATATCTTCTGGGTGGGTACCATTTTTCTTGGTACCATTTAGCACACCTTCATAATATATGGCACTTCTTTCTGGGCCACCGAGCATGCACTACGTGTCAAGGAATAAATCAAGGCACTAGTGTGTGCCTTTACCCAATCATACAGAATGTGTAGGTCTCGTCGAATGCATGAATGTTTGTCCTTCTGTTTTCTTTTATAATATGTATGTCAACTTTAATTCCTAAGTTCATAGTAATAGACACAATGACTGGCGCTTAGCCTTAGGGTGCCTCCCATGCTTGGTCAGCCAGTTTGCGCTAAGTGTTATAAAAAGGCTTATCAAGATAACTGCTTACGATATATAGACCAATCTATATGTGTCGTTGTAAGGTTGTCCAACGGCCACTAAACCTCAGGAATCCGCCAGACTTAGCATGGTACAATGAACTATTAGTACATTTGCAAGTTCTTATGTATTATACTGCGTTAGAATAAGTTCGGGACTTGTCTAGAGTTAAGCAACCTTCTTGTGGAATGAAACTAGCGGCTAACATACCTTTGCTGAGCAGTGCGACGTTGTATTGGTCCCTAGCTGTCCCGACCTATAAGATCTGTCTGTCTCATTAATTATCTACTTTGTACCTAAGTCACCTAAACCGTAGCAACTAACTTCCGATCAATAGTAATAAGCTTTTTAATACGTATGTTTATTGTTATGCGAAAAACCGTGTCTGTAGCGGCACAAACCAGTATGTACAATGGTATACATGCTCTTGCATGAACAGTACGCATGGGTGGAACAATAGTGTATGTGTTACATGTAGTTACTTTCTGATGGATGGTTGAGGCGAAAACCGACTTTGAAAAACTCAGGTCCTTGTATATATTAGAAGCATTTATTGGGTGCTTTTGTGAATATTCGTCCATGTTAGGCAGTCAACCAAAACACATTAGTGAAAGCGCTAGACGGCCGTTTGGTCTTATTGGGTCGCTTCGGTAGCGCTCACCCTCCGAATCCTGCCGGATTCCGACCCACGACCGTATTCTTGAGAATCAGCGACTGATGCCACTGAGCCATGTGTGACGGCGGCGGACTGCCATGACTGCCGCCTAACTGCGCTATACCGCGGCTCATCCTCTACGGTCATGCATGTAATGAACGTGCAAAGGTTAGGGCTGGACTCTAACCTCCCTATTACTTAAAAACAAGCTGTGGTCGCGTTAGAATATTACATGGCACCTAGGTTGGTGGCGGCTTGCAAAGGGCGTCGTGTCTCTGGGGTCCAGCCCTGTTCTCTGCACATTCATTTCATGTGTGACAGCGCAGGATGAGCCGCGCTATATCGCAGTTAGATTTCAGTCATGGCAGTGCATTGCCGTTGCACATGGCTCAGTGATATCAGTCGCTGCCTCGCAAGCTTAAGGTCGTAGATTTGCATACGGCAAGATTCTGCGGGTGCGCGCTATTGACGAGGCCCAATAGGGCGAAACGGCGGGTCTAGCGCTTCCGTAATCTGGGGTGGCTGTCTGCCTGAGTCTAACAACGAGTAATCTTCACAACTTGCATTGGTGTTTATGGGTTTTGGGCCACTCTTGGGCTAACTCAACCAGAGATTTCTCATGTAAATCTAATGATTGTGGTAAGTAGATCAAACTAACTGGAGAGTTTAAATTGAAACGTCGCCAGATTATTACATGACCTACATGTGATTGGTAGTTTATACCACCGATAGCTATAACTGATCAGGAAGCAATTAGAGCGAATGTTCATTCTAGTCTGTGGTTTATTCGGTGTAATATTCTTGTTGCGGTGATCGCAACTTGAGCTATTTTGTAATCAATCGGAAGATCAGAATACATCTTTAATGTAGCGGTCTGAAAAGTCGCAAATATTATCCTTCAATCGTGAAATTCAAAGTGGTTCGACGTGAGGTTTGTTACAACACACCCAATAATTCTTGATATAGTATTTAACAATCAGATATTTGGTATATGATTTCTGATGGTGCTCCGCAGCAATTCTGTCACTCGTTCTTATATTGCTGTAACTTATATTGCAGTATTCAAGGAAGGTAGGGGTAAGTAGATTCAAAAGCTCAACTCTGACATTATGGGTAATTCCTCCGCATCTAGTTAAAGCAACTTTTTCCGCAATCTCTTATGGTTTATCCTCTGCACAAGTTCTACTTACTTTAATTACGTGCATCCTTCTTTCCGTTGTGGGACATGCCATTTGCGTAATAGTTGCTGTGATGAGTGTCCCTGAAGACATTAGCGCATGAATAGAGTTGTTTCTTCACATTCCCCTATCTGGTAGCAAAAGCACACATGCCATGGCGACGGGTTTTGCATGCTTTGGAAGGCAATGAATTACACTGGTGGGTGGAGCGATAACATATAGTTGATAAATGAGGGACCTAATCGATGCCTATAACCCTACTACCTATATTATATTGTAACGGTTCCCTTCTTGGTACACTGCAAGCATAGAATTGATATAGTGCAAGTGATTTGACGGAAAAGGACAACTTAATGCAGTTAGATGTTTGGATTTTCCATCCGTCTGGTCTGATACTGAGGCGCGAAGCAGAAATGCACTACCGTGTGAGCCAATTCAATTCCAGTAACGAACTACTTTAAACCCGTACAAACCGCAGACTAAACCAACCGGTGGAATATGTTTGGAACCGATCGAATAGTCATGAGTTCAGATGTACACAAAACTCTCTGAACGTTCAATCGTTGTTCACCGCATTCATTTAGTACGCTGAAGTATAACACCAATATTTGATTTCTCGGTGAGTAATCTAACGAACATCTGTGTCGGTGAGTTTACACGAACATACTTGCGCACAAAGACAGTGCCGAGCATAATTGCTGTTTCGTGTTGAAAGACAAGTGAAAATTTTATGACGTGATAGATGAAAGTTCTAACTGTGCAAACAATGCTCTATCTGTGGTAGCCTCCACGTGTTTGACAATACATCGATGTCATTCTGGGTTGATCTCCGACAAGAAGGAAAAGTTGTAGCTACCATGCGCTACTGTAACAATGGTAAAAATGATGATGACAATGCCTTTACAGAATACTGTCTGGTCTATGAAGGCTCATTCGGTATGAAACGGCACTTCTCTGTTTAGTGTCAATCATCTGTAAAAAAAGAATACATTTAGGATTAGAAGAACAAACTGACCTCATTGAACCGCATTTTGTACAGCAAAAGGTAAAACAAGTTTTTAAACGTAATCGCTAACAAGCTACGTTTACTCGTGCTCAAATGACTACAAGCAAGTATTAACCCCCCAAACATAACTAATTAGGTATGAGTTTATCCATCGATGCATGTGTACATGTAGGCATGTCATTACTCTCTGGCTACCAACATTTCTCAAGTGTCGCTGTGTTGCAAGAAAACAATGTCCGCCTAACAAAGGGCATTGTGCATTCATCTTGGCAGAAGTACTTTCTACACCAACGTGACAGACGGTACGGGAAGGCATTTGGTATGTTTACAAATGCAGCTTTGATTGGATTACTTAGGCTTGAAAATGACAAACTTAACTATAAAATAATTCCAAAGGTATGATTAGTTAAGTTTAATCAAAATCTTACACACCTCAGTCTTTAGTGAGACAAGAGAAACCACGATTTGCACAAAATGTGTTGGCAGCTGCATGCATTTAACCGCGTTTGCACAACGCCTGCTGGTTGAGAGTGACCATGAATACTTTCCGAATTATCCAAACTGTGGAACCTGCTATAACTACATTGATCTAATCTATTGATGGTCAAAATGAATTTTTGGGAACCCTTTCGACTGGCTAGGAAAGGATGATCAAGCCGATTATTGAGCCAACTCCGGCACCACAGCCACGAATGGTCACACCTTCTCGGTAATTCCATTGCAATAATATTTTTAAGATGATGACCAAGCTCTCAATGAGATGATGTTTTTAATTCGTCATCGTATCTGGATTACGAACAACAGCAAACTGCGGCCAAGTTTAGCTGATGGCACCGTTCCCCGTTACTTTGTTCATGACTGAGTTCGCAACACCACTGGACGTGTAAGTAGAACAAGCATATATTGTTGGTCAGTCTGAGATGGGAATAGTAACTCATACCGAGCCTTGCATTTTTAGGAAGCAGGGATATATGGTGTTCCTGACAATTGGCTATTACTCCAATCATTTTGTAACAAACTGTAAGTTTGCTTATCATTTTCCGTTTAATATTTATGACGCTCAATCTCTTTACCAATACTTCGGCTCAATGCTGCCTAAGGGAATTATCGTCTGTGGAGTCACATATCAAAAGTTAATAATTGTTCATGCAGAAAGAAGGAGGATAAGCAGATGCATATTTGTAATTAGAAAGGCAGTTTGAACTTACGTCAAGAATAAATATCCGCAATTACTTAACTTAACTGCTTTGTTTTCAAACTTCGCCCCTCGCGCTGCTTGAACCGTTTGCATGTTTATTGAAACTACTATGAGGTCGAGTACGACAGTAAGCCCAACATCAAAAACTGTAGACACGTCTCATTTCGTAAACTTTTTGTAAAGGTGGAATTCCACAAATTGTGGAAGTGCGAAATTTGGCCCGTTAAGCTAATTTAGTGGCAATTCTGGTGAAGTTAAAAGAAATTTCCAGCGGAATAGCATAAACCTAAACAGTCAGAAAAGGTTTAAAGTACACTCTGCTGAATTAAGTCCATAAGGCAACCGAAAGTGAGTTGGATACAGTGATTTACCTACGCAATTTCCTGACACAGTCAAGCAGTCAACGGTAGCAGAACTTTCATTCAGCGGTTATAGCTGGAGACAGGATTTATATCAGCAACATGAGAGTTAACTTCATTCGACTGGTAAGGTCATTGTTTCCTACACATAAATCAGATTATTAGTAAGGGCCAGGACAAGCATACACTTTAAAACTGTTCTTACACTATGACGTTTCTGCTCTAAAGAATTTGGACTTGATAACATAACTACAACGGCGTTCAACCAAAAGCGTCATAGTTTGATGAGCAAGCATCCGCCTCATCCTAATTACCATCATATCCCGCCTGATGCATGGAACATCTCGGAGCTGAATATTTAGCATATGAACACTTAGTCAAGATGACACCAATGATGGTGGACGCGTAGTTGTGAGATAAGTTTGTGTGTCTAGCCGTTAGATACTAACTACAATCTAAATAAAGGATGCATAAATACGTCGATAAATCTCATCACCACAACGCCCCAACTAGAATACTTCAATGGTATACAGATCATTTCAACTTAGACATTATTAATCAAACCAAGAGCCTAACAATCCAAAAACAAACTAGGTTATAATCACATTTGTATTAGGCTAAGTATTTGTTATTAAACAGCAGGTAGCATCACCGGCATTCTCAATGGATTTGGTTACACCGTAAGGCGGCAACGTATACAGCGCAGTACATCTACAGCATAAGAGGAGTTTAATCAAATCTCTCGCCTCCAGGGCGCGCAGTATTTGTACACCGGATACCGTCAACGAAGTACCACAGAGAATCAGCTACACCCTCAAAGAAAGTGGTTATCCTGATAAAGTTATCATGAAGCGTTTGAACGGACGCAACCGGAAGGCAAGTAGGAGCATTACTCCTAAGAATGAGCTTTGCATACATCTACCATTTAAGGGCGATTCTGCAGCTGATACCTTATCCCGACGCCTGATAATTCTTTGTCATAACAAGCCGTTGTGTACTACACCCTTGAAAGATCGAGTGCTGTCGTTGATCCATTCAATGATCGTTTATCAGTACTGGTGCTCCTGTGTGCACAGTACGTGGGTCGCACTACGAGGCACCTATCTCAGAGGATGCGTGAGCTCATCCACGCATGGTTTTACAAAGGCGAAATGAGGTCCTCAGACAGGTCAATCATGTCACACCTCCTTGAACGTGGCCATAAAGCTTCCGAGAATGATCTCAAAGTCATCTACTCACTACCTGAACACTTCTCGAAAGGATTCGGCAGACAACTCTTATCCATTGCCGAGACTATATGCATCTATCATTTGAAGCCGAAAGTATGTGTAAAAAACAATTCAAAGTGCCAATACTTCTACCCTGGCCCAGTGACACCGTTACTTAGTTATTGGATTGTTATCTTACGTAATTACTTGCTTCGGACTACTGAGCTTTGTGTCTGCATGTTTAGTTAGTTCACTTGTTTTGCCATTTGTATCCCTGTCTCAATTTATCCATTTTGATCGTTCAGAGTTCAGAAGTCAATCTCAACCCGAGTTCACGCTTTTTTTTACAATCAGTGCCAGGTAAACGTTTGGGTCTGAGGAGAGTTTATATAAAAGAATTCTTTATTCTGAAGTGATTTATGATATGCAAATTTCTTTAAAACGGTAGAGAGTACTCATGCTACTGCTTGTATGCATTTCACAAAGAACCGGTTCGTTAGTTGTCTTCATCTACAATGGATCACAAAATACAACCTGCACTATGTCTTTCACTATCATTATTTTTGACTGCATAAGTAAACTCTAACTTGCACTTGCTACTAAACTGAATTATGATAAGACGTCGGCGTGGGCGTCCTCGCGGTTTACTCAGCCTGTGCGCGACTAGTGGTGGTCGCGCGGCAACGAAGCGCCTTTACGACGTACAGCTGGCAGGTTATAACTTTTATTTATTTATCAGGACCTCACTATCCTTGGAAGAAACACTGCTTGCCCCTGATTCTTCTGATTATTTTAACTTGGGACCACTATGTGGATAACACCAGCGGGGTCGATTTTTTCCACTCTCACACACAGAGATTTAGCCTGAAGTGAACACAGTCTTCACATATTGCATCTACCATTAGTGAACAGAAGTTAGTGTAAACTGCAAGATGAATACTTGTTATTTTTAGTATTTTCAGCAGGCACTTGTTTGTGTCTGGACTCCTCACTGAAGGCTAAACTCTCAGTAAGCCAATAGGTGAAATCCCATCTGGGAGAAGTGACAAGATAGATTAGATGGAACTGTTAAGTTGAAAATTTGTGTTCGAATTAGTGAATAACTTGAACGCCAGTGAATATCTTCCAGGCAAGTTCTAATGTGATTAAGTGAGGACAATGAGCATTTGCTCTTTTAAAACTAATGACCAATATGTGTTGATATTACAAGTTTTCTGAAGTTTACTGCTTGAGATTATGGTTAAATTTGTTTGATATGACACGTTCGGCAAACGTTCACTTTGTTCATAACAGAGCTTTTAAAGAGTTCTTATGTTACAATGGATGCGGTTTATACCCCCACGCAGTGATGCATCGTATCGGAAAAGTTAGAAGGTCCACCATCAATTCCTCCGAATGTCAACACAATACAATTTTGAATTTGGTAACAAGTGAACTAATTCTGCTCGATTCAAGGTGAAGCATTTAGAAGACCGGCTAATATTGTTTTCTTGAAACCGCTTTTAACTTACCCAATCGATATATCAAATTTGTCCCACGCCGCTCATTTGTGCAAATATTTCTTCATATCTTAGGTTCCATTCGGTAAGCTGTGTCTGTTAGATGCTCCTTCATAGTCGTCCTCCATCGACAGCCTGATGATCTCGCAAATCGGATTTGACGCAGTTCCATCTATTGCACCTTGCAAAACGTTGGACGGAAGAGGACGCAGGTTAAGAATTAGTAGAAGAAAAATGGAAGCATCATCACTTAGTCAATCACTCCATTGTTCGAATACAAGTTAACAAGTAGCATGTAATTCTGGGTCATCACATAGTTTGGGCGCGTGAGAAGGATTAACAATGGCTATGCCAGTTTCGAATGAATAAGCAAAACAACCCGATGAAATGTTGGTATCTTCGAATTAAGATTATGGGACTTAGTAGGCTTTCGATATCCTTGCCGGACTGTGTAATTAATAAGAAGAAGAAGAAGAAAAATAATAACGCTTCTATTTCTCTTTTGAGAAAAACTGTGTCTATAGCGGCACAGATCAATTTGTACAGGAGAATCCATGCACTTGCATGGGTGACATGTATAGGTGGAGTATTAGGGTTTTGCGTTTCATGTATAAACATTATGGCGGATAGTTGAGGCAAAAGACTAGTTATGAAAACATTGGTGTTCATATGTTTTTAGGCTCCTCTTGTAATAGCTCATTGAGGGATGTTTCCCATTTGAAATAGAGCTTAAGGTACGTAGCAAGATAATTGGCGAGCCTGCTTCTAAATGTTGTCACATTGTCACATGACCTGAGTGTTATTGGTAGTTAATTCCACAGATAGCTATTTCTGATCAGGAAGAAATTAGAGCGGATGTTCGTTCCAGCCTTCGGTACATTCAGTTTAGGATCTTTGTTGCGAAGCGCTGGAGTTGAGCAATGTTGTAAATTGGGTGTAGGGAGGTTGGAATAGGTCTTTTTGTCTAAAATGTTGAAAAGCAGCAAAAAGTCGTGCTTCAATCGTCGAATCCAATATGGTTCGAGATGAAGTTCATTGCAACGTTCTCGATAACTCATCGCATTACCATTCAAATGTTTGGTCAATGACCTCTGCAGGTGCTCCACAGAAATTCTGTCACTCTTTCTCATATTTCCGTATATTGTGCTGCAGTATTCGTAAATGGGGCAAGTGAGTACCTTGAAAAGCTCAACTAACACGAGTTGTGTGAATTTTGTTTGATGTATTAAACTTAGACTGTCTGGTACGTGCTACTTGGTATTGGGCCTGTTCGGAGAAATTGAAGGTAGACGAGTACCTAATTCCAAGATCTCGCGTGGACAACTGTGTAGGGACGTGTTCATTGTTTAGGGTGATAGATCCTTCGGGGATACAGCAGCCAAAAGACATGATGCTTGATTCCTTAGCCGAGCGGTTCATCACCCACGTACAGCACCATGACTCAAGGGAATGTAGATTATCTTGAATGGGCAGTAGTGTTCCGTGAAGCTCGTCACGCCGAAGCTTATAGGTGATTTTGATGCCGTCAGCAAATAAAAATAATCTTCCATGTTTCACAGATGTGATTTCATCGATGTAGAGCAAAAAGAGTAAGAGACCGAGCACGCTCCCTTGAATGACTCCACTGGTTATTGAGTGTGACGAGGAGTGATAATCACCTAAAGTGACTACCTGATGACGATCACTCAGGTATGACGATAGCCAACCTAAGAATGGGTACCGGATCCCAAAGTTCTCCAAATTTTAGCACTCGCTTGTGTAGTGCTCGGTCGAACACTTAGTGTATGTCAAAAAACAAGATTACTAATTAACGGCCGGAATCGATTGATTCTGAAATGTGATTAAGGTAATGCAGTTGACAGGTGGTGCAGGATCGCTTATTGAGAAAACCATGCTGCGAATAATCGATCAGGCCAATGGAAACAACAAAGTTCATCATCTGCATTCTGACCAGCTTTTCAAGTAGCCTGTTGAATTGGTCGGTAGTTATCAGTCGTTCGTTTGGGATCTTTTCTATGCCGATGCATAATAAATGACGTTTTCCATTGGTCTGGAAAGCGGCCAGATTCCAGAGATAGGGTGAAGATGCTCATCAGGAGCAATCGTATAACGGACACTAGAAAGCGTTAATTGCTTGTGAGATACCTTATCTCTCAGCGTACGATTTATGAAACTGCAACGGAAATAGGGTTTGAGAGTTCAGATTGAAAACTGGTACCGTCTACATGGCAGTGGCTACGGTTCATCAGAAGAACTTCGACTTTAGTGTTGTGGCGAAAAGTTCATTGAATTGAGAGACCCTTATGTAGTGTTAGAGGTGTAAGAGAAAATTGTGCTACTGTGCTTCGCATTTAATGATCAGTTAAAGTGAATCTTATTTCACACAAAAGTAATAAAACTGTTGTTAGAAACATTTAAGAAATGTATTAGGACATTCGGCTGTACTAATTGAGTTGTACAATCGACCCACTGTAAAGGTTGGTATACTTCTCTATCATGCGTTATAAGGTTCAGCATAAGAAATTCCCCCAGTGAATTATGTACCAGTGGCTTTACAGTCCACACTAAAGTCTCTCACAAGGTAATTTCATCTGAACATCAAATAGTTTCTAGGGTGTTGGGCATCATTACTGCCAGTAGAAAACTTGTTTTGTGGCAGTAACAGGAATATTAATTACCAAACTGCTGATTCTACCCAGACACGCGTGGGTGAACAATGATCACTGGAATAATTGTTTAGGAAACGTTAGCTTTTGCGCGACTATTAACATGACCCATTTGTATTCTGGAAGAAAGTAGAAGCCACGATTAAACTGCACAATACTCTGCCTCGACGGGGAAACGAACCGCAGACATACGGATTACCTGTTCGCTGCTTTACCAACTGAGCTACCGAGGACTGACGATTAGGTGCGCAGTTTAATACATGACTTCTGCTTGGTTCGCGACGTATTGCCAATAAGCCCACAGTAGCTGTCCTGGTGTTGCAAATTGGCTCACCCACTCGTCACTTCCCAATGAACCGAAGTATCTCCCTTCAGATGACGGAATGCGAAGTCGCGAATCCAAAAGTGACTTTAGAAGTGACAGTCAACATGCCAGAAGCAACGGGTTATTGTGAGTCGAATTTCGGTACCGCCAATACACTTTCATAAGTAGCAGGTTAGTGAGGTGTTGCGATTGATTCGCTACGGCTGTACCAGGTAACACAATGTTTATTTCTGAGTTGATTCCGCTGTATATCCAAATACCAAACCAAATTCTTATATTTGATTGAATCGACCGGTCATAACGACCAAGCTGATCAAAGCGTATCGCGTTCACGATCAAGATTGTGCACTACAATCCATTCTTATAACGAATGCTACGTAGCACGAACCGGATTTAGATGAATTTGTCTCACCATGTGTTGTGTACCTGGTTCTCCCGGCCTCGTCAAGAGAAAGAACTCACACCGGCTGTGCGTACAAACTTTCTATTCACAAGTCTGAGGCAACGTACAACTAGCTGTGTATTTAAAATTCCCACTCGTCAATTCGATCGACCGCCTGATCGACCGCACTGAGGCAGACGATTCCCTTTGCCCCAGGTTTCAGCTATATCAAATCCTTCCCTTTTTCTTTTTTGTTGTTTTGGTCTTGCAGGTTCCGTAAAGACTTCCACTGCGGTAGAGCTTTCGAACCTGGGCTGCGATTTTACTTGGCTTATTCAGCTGATGCGGCTTCTTGTCCGAGTGCAGATCCTGTTCAACATATCGCCTTTTCAACCGTAGTTGATAGCTTCCGTTTCCTTTTCAACCCTCAGCTTCTGCTTTATTTAGACACCGTACAACTCTAGATATCTGTTTAAACCATATTTCATCTCCAGGGGCTAGAGTATGAGGCTGGCTTGGTTCGGAATGTGACACGTCTTTCGCTACCGTGAACAATTTCGAAGACGGTCTTGCAGATGATTAGTGAAAACTATTCGGCTTTCAAATGTACGATGGCTCCAGTATCATCGTGCAGTTGAACTAGTTGTCCTCAAATAGCCAGTTTTGCAGTACCGCTTGCTTCCTCGGCATGATCCCACTTCTTAGCTACTGAAATCTCTTGCGTTTCTTGTTGATTTACACTATCAAGTGACCTAACATTAGTCGATCGACAGCATCGGTCGAATCGGTTTAACTGGCCTTCACAATAATCACCAAATCTCTCAAGCTTTTCTGAAAGATCCGGTTCTTGATCGCGAACGCCAAATTTCTGAGCGTCTAGTATCCGCATTGCATCATGGACGATGTCATACCTGAACATGGCTAACTGATATGGCATAGGATATTCATCCAACTCGATCAGTATCGTGAACTTCATCCACTTTACTCTTCACCGGCTCCAGCTTCCGGACAGCGAACCCTCCATCATCTCTAATGGAGTCACTTAGCTGCAATTGGCTGCCAGCCAAAGCAAAGCTGCTGACTGCTCATCGGTTTCTGCTTTTCCTCTGGCACTATGTTGCGTGCCTGGTTCTCCTAGCCGAGTCAAGGAAAAGAACTTACACTCGCTTTGCACACAAGCGTTCTATTCGCAATTCTGAGGTGATGTACATTTAGCAGTGTTTTTAAAAATCTCACTCGCTCATTCGATCGATCGCCTGATCGACCACACTGAGCTAGGCAATTCCCTTCGCCCCAATTTGCAGCCACATCACACCATGGATCCACATAAAGTACTGGGTCGTTCAATTGCAATTCTCCAACTACAACTCAAGTGATCCTAACTTCAAACAAGTCATGCTTAACAAGGCTGCAATGCCGTACTGAAATAACCTAAATAAAATTGAGTACCATGATAGCGTTAAGCGGCACAGGGTTAAGCAAAGTTTCGCTTATTGTCACACTAAGTGCTGTCTCCTCGTGTTTCGATTGACTACAAATTAAACTGAAATTAACAGTTGCTTTATTTGGTCTTTTAAGCAGACTAATTTATCTCCTGACAACTATCTTTATTCATCGTCATAGAACCTGTCTAATACAATAACTCCCCTGGACGGTGTAGGATGCTGTGACGCCAAGGCTTGCATGTCAGCATTTTGAGTTGATGGGTAGAATAGCGAGGTCCCGATTCAAAACATCTGGTAGTGAATGGCGATTCTGTCTGAACTACAGGTGGAATTACAATGGAAATGGAAATTACTACCGGATGTTTCGGGGTTCACTAAGCTTCATCAGGTGGCATGCCCTCAAGTTACGCGCGGTTTGTATCAATGGCTAGATTGTTTTCCATTCCATTACAGACTAATTATGATCTACTGAATTTATTCAAATCCATTGTTTCCTGAAAATTTGGGTTGCTCGTGTATGTTACAGTTCATATTACCTAACTGTTCACAAATACTGCGGGAACGCACTAATATTCTGCACATAAGTATATTCGCTTATGTCAATTGGTTGGGATAAATTACAGTAAGTTAATTACTGTTTCGCACATTACTGACATAAGGTACATAAACTTTAGCACCTTCAATGTGCGATACATTCGTTGTTGATATTATTATCCGTACAATGATTTCAAATCAAACTCGCGGATTGCAACTTTTAGTAACTTAGTGCAGGTAAATATAACCCTACTATACATTGTGGGATGGATCGTGATTGCGTTGAATATAATATAGCAGATTGAACCGTTGATGGTAACGAAAAACATTAAAACTTGTGACCCGAAAAAAGCGGACTTGGCCTGATCCCCAACGGTTATCAGTTAAGGCATTTCGAGTGGAATGCGTTGATGCACTCAGTTTGGGACTCATAGGTTGTTGGTATACACGGTTACTCAGAAAGTCTGAACATACCTGAGGATCGGAGTGAATTCATTTCCTCAATCGAATGGTCTGGCAGCTTCGGCGTCAGCAAGGTCCTCAGCCGCTGTTAACGATAGTAGGAAACTGTCGATATTGTTATCTTATTAATCAAGGAAATAAAAAGTGAACTTCGTACGTTCGTAGAAGGACAAACCACTGAGTTCTGCTGCCAATACTAGATAGCTAATGGCATACGGATACTAGGCAGATTAATTCTATAAATCATATCGTTGGGTTTTGGGCGTACTGAACGAACACATCTACCTTTATGGGTCCACGATTCCATTTATTTAACGACGCTATGAGGGTGAAGTTTATGTCAAATTGACCTCCTCCTGAAGCAGCAAACAAGCGAAAAAGAACAATGAGCACAGGGGAACAAGTTGTTTAAAATAGTCTGAAGCAACAAGTCTCCTGATCAGTTTGTGAAAAACGGTAAAAAGGAAAATGCTATAAGTTGATATGTTTTATGTTACTTTTTAATCTGTAAAATTATAGGATAAGTATCGCTTACTTGAGGAAAATTAATTGGAACCCAGAAAAATATGGCGCAGCAAACCATATGTGTGAATTTGGAACAAATGTCATATAAACCTAACCGAGTGTAACAGTTGGCTAGTTTTCAGACAGTGAGTGTTTGGTTGTCTATTAAGAGTCGCTGTCCCGTCAAACGCAAGCGCGCTGACGTTTACGATGCAACAGAGAATTGAGTTGGGATAAATTTGTGGAGTTTCTAAGTATTCGACGGAGCCGGATGATACTCGCGACTCTGTCCCCATCAGTGGACAGACGGAGCAATAATTTTCCGAATTATTATGCCACCCACTACTGTGTGGTCGAAGATTTCGTTTTGGTTTCATTGAAGTAGAAAGTGCAACGTTAGAAGAAATGGCGCGCAACAAATCATGCAACATCTTAAGCAACTGGCTGATACACAAAATTCTAAGTTGGCATGCTATTCAATCCTAAATTTTGTTTCAAGCGCAAGGCTAGTCTAAGTGAGCAAACATGCTTAAAGCGTATCCGAAGATATTCCACTAGAAAGGCTAAGTAAAACGAGGCCTTCCAGTGTAATTATTGTTATATCTTCCCGTTAACTTTCTGACACACTAAATGACACGCTATCACCCGATGACTGGTAAAATGGCAGTGTGGTCGGTGACGGAGCGCAAGAGCGCATAGTTAATGCGAATTAGAAAGGACTTCACTACAGCCATAAAATTTAAGATATAAAATGAAATTGAGTAATAGATTGTGGTGTAATGGTTTGCGGCACCAAAGAAGAGACCGGCTGGTTTTCAGTCTCCTGGAATCAGCAACGTGCAACTGCAAAAACAAGCACCTTCTTCTCAATGTCTAAAATGGGTGGTACCATTGGACGCCAGCAGAACGTTCTTATACTAGGTTGCACTGGCGTTAATATTGTTGCCATTTTGCTGTGAAGGATTCATTTATGTATAGTTTCACCGATCGCTAAAATTAATACAAGCTTTGCTTGCAATTTCGCAATTAATTCTGCAGAGTACGCGAACCTAAGTTACTCTGCTTAAAATTTTAAAACCACATTATTCGTAGCATGTCGAATCTAACGAACACGGTTGGTTGGTGCAGATAACCAGCGTTGAGGGATATAGAATCGTTGCAATTCTGGACCGCTACTATTCTGCAGGCTGATCTGCACTCTAATGATAGCACAACGGGGAGTGCTTTGCCGGCTGAAATGTGTTTTGGGCATGATAATTTCTTCGCAGACGTTTCACCAACAATCGAGGTCACAACATCATTGCGCTGTTATGTATCGAGTACAGGTGTAGCGTATGGAAGCCTCTTTGAGAGTGCAATACGTGCGATATGCCTTGATTTTCATGCGTAAACTCCTCCCGGAAACACAGTGTGAGGTAACTGTTAATAGACCCGGATCATCAGTAGAATAGTGAGAAGTCCTCAGCAGTGTAATAGCTTCAAACTTTACACACAATTGTACAGGCCTGGACATAAATGCCGAAGCCGAATGTTGGTAATGCCAATCAATCAGTGAACCATCGGCTTTGGCCACACAAACTACTATCAAATCACACGTGAACTATGATTACTCAAAGTTCAGGAACAGACCGTAAAATTAAAACTCAGACACACGTCACACACGTGCTCACTCGTACTCACATGTGTACTCGTGGATTCAGCACACACTACTATCAAGGCTTTCTGTGTGGGGCAACAGTGCATCGATACACAAGCTTTGCCTAAACAATGGATTACCCTGTGAACCATAGATAAATCAGACCTTGTCTTGTTCTTGTTGTATTCATTTATTAACTTTCTTGTATACGAACTACACACATCGTTTATATCTTGGTGTTATTAATGTGTTCCTTCTAATCATATCATACACTTAGAAAGGGCGGTCATACCATACCGTTACTAGATTTCTGTGGTAACTAATGGTTTATAACCTCAGCGGGCGGTTTTATTAGGTAGCATTTGCTCTAGTAATGACAGGTGACGGAAGAGTACCTGTGGGCTGCGTGTGCCTAGCCAAACGTTACTTCTCAAGCAGACCGGTTTGTCTGTTTAACGCAGCCAAATGGCACAGAACCACCGAGGTCAAAATTCCATGGATTATGCCAGTTCATCACAAGGATAGCACAGTGTCTGCAATCCCAATGAGGGTAATATTCATAGATGTTTTGTTTAATTCCTTTCCGGGAAAATTGTGGGTGAGAATAAGCTTTCTTTTGCGTTGTATAGTGCCGCATCCTAGAATCTACCGTTTGCAGGGTTACATGAAAAAGTTGTTTTCAACTTATTGGTCCTAATGTGCAAAATAGAAGAACATGTATTGAACATATGTGGTGAATCCTGTTGATGCGAACAAAGTGTACCTCAGCCGCTTGTGAATGACACATTTGAGTATTTTTTAAGTTGTTTCCTTTATAATTCCGAACAGGAAAGTCGGGAGACGTAAATTGTGTGATGACATCGCCAGTTCATGAGTTCTTATCAACACAAAACGTGCAACACCGATATGTAAATGCACAACCAACAATGTCAAATTGATCGTACATATCCACCTATTTGCGCTATCAGAGTAGGCTTAGAGCCACAGTCACCTGTTTTTGAATGCACAGCGGCAGTTGATCGCGATCAATAGCGATGGCCTCCATTAGCCGCCGATGGTGCGATAGAACTGTGATCGACTCATCAGCATTGACTCCGTGCTCGGTTGCAAACAAGTGCTTTGGTACTGCCGAAGCAGCTCTGATTCCGATTCAACGGATTCCGTCGTCACAAACCTCACGCGCCTGCGTAAGCCCTTGGAGATGTTTTCATTGATACTGGCACCTAGACTTCGGTTTATGCACCCAACGTAGCTGTCTCCATAGTTACAGGTGAATTTAGATATAGAGTGGGACATGCACTGTTATGTTTTTGGTGTCTTAATCAAACACAAGCATAGTTCGGGTTGATGTGAGTAGGCGCAGTTCCGCCGCATTGTACCCTCTTTTGATTGAAACTCGTATCTGTTTCTCACTGACCTTCATAATGTGGTCACCTATGAATATGGCTCAATGAAGATTGACTTCTATCGGACGGTTTAGACACAATCCCGCTTGATTGTTTCACTGAGGTGCCACATGAAATGCTACGAGTAACCGTTGGATTTAGCGTAATGAAAAACAAATCCCTTTGTGCTTCGGGGGTGTCTGGTGTGCAGACCATTTGGGCCCGACGGTAGAGTGTCTGGACAAGACAGCGTTTGAGTAGTATATTGGAGAGACATAAAATGCAGATACTGACCAGTCCAGATTGGCTTTCTGTAAACAGACTTTCTGATAGAACCCTGTGGTCGCCGTGTAATCAGCACATCTAAACACGGAAGACAGTTTTCTTGCTCAGTATCGCGCGTCACCGATAGGTTCGAGTGAAGTTTGGTGTAGGTCTTGGCTGCATACTCGATGGCCATAGCTTAATCCATAATTAGCAGTATATCAACAACATAACGCTTATACAGAGTCGTCGATCTTATGATGTCATATGTTTTTCTTCAATCAGACCCATAAATAAATCGGCCACAACAGACTTAATGAGCTACCCACCGCCACACCATCTCTCTGCCACTGCTATTCATTAACAGTACTATGCGTACAGAAAAGAAACAAGTTCTTCAATAATTCCTTGGGGAGCAGGAGTCTAACGTCATGATTGGAGATAAACTCGCATAGACAGTCAATAGCCTCGTTAAAGTTATGTCTGTAGAGAGAGCTGAATGTTAAGGGAGCCCATTTGCATTCAGGCCAACTTTCCACACCCAAAGTAATGAAGTATTTCGAAGGTAGAAAATCAGTATTGCTCTCCCACATCCTGCACTCCACCATCGACGGTTTCATCTTGATTTGGATTCAGCAAGTACAGATAGCCTGTTGGAGTGGAACTCGGCAACTAGTGGCGGGCAGCTATCGCCATAAAACACTAGACCATTGAGCTGCGCGAGCACAGTCTGACACAATGGTTAGAAATTGATGGTCGGGTTTTATAGGCCCCGCCGGGTGTCTTGGTTTGCGACATGCAATTTGAACTGTGACTTCGGTTGACTGTGAAGTCATCCTGTGCCATTCCGACCACTGCGACCATATGCGACCGAAGTGGAGGGTTTCGGTGTGCCTCTCTCCCTTCCTGCATTCCACGACAGATGGTTTCGTTCTGGATTGAACTCCTCTAGTACTGATAGCCTGAATGGGGAGTGAAACTCTGCACATAGTGGCTGGCGGTTGTCGCCATGATCACTAGACCACTGAGCTCCGCGATCAGAGCATGACACAGAGGTTAGAAGTTGAAGGAGTTTAGTAAAGGGTTGATAAGTTATGATTTACTATGGATTTCATGCTAGGATCAAGTATGCTGCTCAGACATTTGGAAATGGCGCGGGAGGTGCGGTGCATTCAATATGGAGATAATCGGTGGCATGGGCATCCCTGCTTTATGCACTTTAAGTAAAACTTATGTATCATGTACGTTTTTTGATAGTTGAGAATGCACGAAATAGCTATGTCATCTCACACTATCCGTCTAATGACTTTCCTGTTTGGCATTCTGATTTGTTTTGAGATTTCCCTCAACACCAGTAGGGATAAACCGATAAATACTCGTGCGGTAAAATCCATTATCGATCGAAGTCGGACGGGCTGCCCGTATAATAACCTGGGAGATCCCATGTTAATAGGATGTGCCGTCACTCAAGTGACATCAAAGTTCTTTGGACCGTGAGGTTAGACCTAGTAAGATACTACCTTGTCCATTGCCTTTAACATAATACAAATATATCTATTGGACTAGCGGTAATCTGAGAATGAAGCACACCGGTTACAGACTGTGTCCACGATCTCACTGCAAGCGTGTCCCGTGAATTAATACGGATCGATTTTATTACCATTAGAGTACAAAATACTGACTTAAATGGGGTGTCCATCAGCTATGACTGCATCATATTCAGCAGGTGCTATAAGACCATATTTTCACGCTTTAAATGTGGGTGCGCGTTGGAAACAAATTTTTTAAACACTACTAGTTCGATGGTTTAAGAAAGTGCGAGGGAATTGCTTCCTACTGGTCATCATGCATTCATGTAATCAGCTAATCAATAACTTTATCAGTAAGATCAGCTGGCACTGACTTGCGCTGTTAGAAAGGAATCCGGATAACATTTCGTGGCTAGAAATAACAGGACTACAAAATAGGAAAAGGTAGACCGACAGAATATTCATGGTACTACCAATCAATTACCTGAAAAAATGGGCCCGAAGTCTGCAGTATTTGTACAATCATCGCAATGGGGATCAAAAACAGCGTGGAGCTTGCCATCAACCAGCCCAAGTTAACAGACCAGATGGGAAATTCATAAGGAGTTGTCTGCCCTGCTCTTCGATAAGCTAGCTGTTCGTACTTGATCACGCTGTACACAAATAGTAGCTGCAATGTTCAAGAGAAGGGACCCAGAAATGAGAGTAAATTCATGCCGGTGCCTGTAGAACTGGACATATGGTAAGGATAACGCTAAACCCTGTAAGTTTATGGAGCCATATCGGAAATTGTTTGGACCTCTCAAAGAAATGTGAACTCGAAACAGATTTTATTTCCTTAGTGCCTTGTTTGTGTTGACACAATTCCACTCATAATCCGTCGAGAACATGGCTGACCAGCCCATTTACTCCACAGCTATTTCACATGTGTGGTCGCATTCCGCCTGTTCTGACGACCAAATGTCGCAGAACCGTAATCAGACACAATGCTGATCTTCATTTTAGCAGATGCTAAAAGGTAGGCAATAACAATAGAGCAAAACTTGGTCAATAAAGGTCAATGTAAGCACTATGTATTCGGACGTGGAAAGAAAGTAGATTCTATAAAAACATTCGGACGGGAGCGATAAAAGTCGTTCACTTGGATGCCTAACAATCTCATTGGTTATTTTGCTGATCTTAGTGGGTTGCAGCGCTAATATGCTAGTAGCGGAACATTAGCACTAAATGACGGACAAGCTAATACGTATGGGTCAGACAAACTTTCTCTTCCCTCCTTTCAAATGAAGTAGGAGGGAGGCATATTACATATTGAATCAAAGTTCAATTTTAGTAGAAACAATCTTTGAACGCTTTTATGGTGGACATTATAGGGGACTTGGAACGATTGGTGCTTTCGGCCACGATGAATCTGCTCTAGTTTGACTCAACTAAGTGTAATGATGTTCATACATTTAATCAGACGACGAACTTGCACAACTCCGAGACTGCAGCTTGCATAAAGTCTCCTTGGAGCTTGGTCTCAGGATTTTGCATCAAAGCCATCTCGATTGCTTAAAACAGTCCGCCAAGCTGTCGAGAAACAGTAGCCAGTATGTCGGCCTTTCGCGCATGGTTTGGCCGACTTGACCTTTTACGCACAAACGTTTAAAGCCTACCTAGGACCACATTTGGAACGCGCCATCTTGGTGTGCTATCCCTTGTAGCTACACGATCTTATTAAGTTCCAGACTGCGCAGTAAAACGTAGTTGCAAACGTTTAGCATCTCACTCATACATCCTACAAAGTTGGACTAAATTTTACGGAATTTGTAGCAGTCAGTACCGGTGCTTAGAAGGGAACCTGAAAACAACTTGTTAACTTTCGAATAACTCCAATGCTGGAACAATGTACCAATGTTACAATGGGGATAAAAACTGAGGCTTGACACTTTCCGTTGGATGGTTGGTGTGAATTAGGTAAGTTCAGAAAATAGATTTCAGACTAAAATGGAAGACGCATCTGTGGACTCACCATAATATCCATGATAACACAACTGAATATAGAACGACAGGCAAAAACACAGAAAGCAGGGAGAAACGACTGACTGACGTCCCTAAGAAAAATACGTTCATTACGCTACCGTTTGAAGTGGACAAAAATGACATAAGATTTTGACACCTTCTGTGTCAGATGATAAAGAAGTGTTGTTTACTCGGCTGAACATGTGTTACTGCAAAATGTGAGGAAGCTAGTATGTAAACCCAACCTGGACAAGTCAGAACATCTAGTTATCGCCCCATGTTTCTACCTGTTTCACTGTACTTGTGATAGCAGATACGTAGGCTGAACTAAGAGAAGGCTGTCGACTAGGATTTCAGAGCACATTCCACATAATATGGTCGCAAATGCTCACAAGATGCCGGCTTGCTCCATCGCTTAGCATAACATCGACGGCACCATATGTCAGAATGCACATAAATTGTTCATGATAAGTATCCCAGAGCAAAATACTCTGCTGCTTTGGTTGGCTGAAGCTCCAGCAATTCGAAGGCTACAATCCCCTCTGTGCAGACAGAATGAGTTTATAACCAGACTCGCATTGCCGTGGTAAGTTACTTTGTTTCAAATTTAAGCTAAATAACCTGGGCCTTTGTTTCCGGTAACACGTAGCATAATTATCACATGGATCTTACGTTGCCATCATCATCATTATCCACATTATACACCTTTGCTTGTGGTAAGAAACACCTCAGGTACCGTGTCGCAATATATAAAAGAAAAGGACGGAAAATGCGACAGATGCAAGACAGCTGAGCTACCGCTAACGGATGAACATCGGTCCGGTAAGTTACCAGTAAGCTAGTATGCAGCTAAAAAATTTACTATTCAAATTATAAAAGGCTATGTAGTGAGCCCGTGATTGGAGAGGGAGGCTAAGAGGGATGGAGTGGGACAAAGAAACTCACAGCACGAACGCTACTGAGGTCGGCTCCTAGCCATATCAGCAAGTGTATCCATCCAAACGTGTTCATCGTCTTTCGGACCCAGGGAGCGATAGCGCTTCAACCGAGGCCAGTTCCGAAGTGAGTGCCTTCATTCCTCTTGACCAAGTCATCGCTTGGCCACCCTCCTCTTTTTCCATCCACACCCCCGGCGCGCCAACAACACACGTCGCGGAAGTCGGTGGGCTGGCATACCTAACACGTGACCGAGCCATGGGAACATGGTGCGTGAAATGACGGTGCTGAGTGATTCATTTCCTTTTCCTGTGCCGTAAACAAAGCTTCGAACACACTCGTTGCTAACTCATTTTCCCACCAGATGTGAGCCATATTGCGAAGGTACCGGTGGTCAAAATTAACTAGCCTCTTTATTTCCGATGATCTAAAAGGCCAGGTTTCATAACTGTACGCTAGGGTACAAGGTACCGCTGCATTGTACACTCTACCCTTCATGGCGACAGTGATGTCGCGCCAATGCCATAAGTGACAATGTTTAGCAAAAGCGCCTCAACGTCTTACTGTACGGTTCGTGATCTCATCTTCAATCCCACGTGCGCTGATAAAACTTCCCAGGTAGTTAACTTGCCGAGGGAATTCTAGCTGATCCCCACCAACGGTCAGCGAAAGAGGCGGTCCAGGCCAAGCTTGGAGAATTGCTTTGCACTTCGATTATGCAAAGCAAAGCCCGAAGTGACGGACAGCTATTGCTAATCTGTCCAGAGCCGCTTGGCACGTTTGTGAGCTCTCAAAGGTTAAGGCAATGTCATCAGCATACTTTAAGTCAAAAAGTCGTTCTCCTGGGAGTAGATCCACACCTTCTAAGTCGTGTCCTGTGAACGGGATTTTCACAACTGCGTCAACAGCGAATTTGAAGAGGAAAAGTTAAACGGGCATCTTTGTCTCACACCGCTGGAGATAGTAAGGGGCTACAACAACTTGCCGTAAGCCCAAACTCTGCCCGAGCTACGCGCGTATAATGCTCGGATAATGTTTATATATTTCTCGGGTACACCTTTCCTAAATAGACAGTCCCAAAGTGCACACCTATCCACCGAATCGATTTCACCTTTGATATCGAGGAACACGACAGCGGTGGGCCACCAACATATGTGACGGTGCTCCAACAACTGACGCAAGGTGAAGATGTGGTTAATGCAGCCACGACCTCGCCGAAACCCGGCTTGCTTTTCACGAATATGGCTCTCACAAGTTTCAGTCAGTCTGTGAACGATGATTGAGGCAAGCAATTTAGAGGCGATGGAGATCAGACTGATTCCTCTCTGGTTGCCATATTCCGATCGTGATCATCCCTTGAAAATTGAGACTATGACGGAGCGGCTCCAGTCGGTTGGGACAGTGTCCTGCTCCCACAGTTTCACTGGTAACTCATGTAAATCATCCATAAGAGCAGGTCCCTCGAATTGTTAGTGAGCTGTATGAAGATCATCTGGTCCCGCGGCTTTATGTAACTTCAACAGTGCGATCTCACCTTCGACTTCTGAGCGTGACGGTGGATCCAAAGGGACAGCCCACGGAGCGCGACGATCAGTGGCCGGCGAGAAATCTAACAATTTTGACAGATTCAATTACCTTTCAAAGTTCTCAGCCCAACGCTGCAAGGATTTTGTGAAGTTGTGGATAGGCTGTCCACTTTAATCACGTATGGTCTCACTAACACCACGTCTCCTGCTACCAGTTTCCGTAGCAGACGGAATAATTTATGATGGTTACCAAGAGCAGTGGCGATTTCCATCTCTACTGCACCATGAGACTACCAGCATTTGCGGTCTCTCTTCAGGCTAGCACGGAGTTTTGTCTGGAGTTTTGTCTGGAGTTTACTGCGAGTCCCATTATTTTCACTTCCAGCTGGAATGTGCCGGCGAACATCAATAAGTTCCAGAGACTGCAAAGAGACGCAATGTCCATGTTGACGATTAGGCATAACACATGAGGATTTTCCTGCTGCTAGTAAGGTCTGGCGACCAAGAGACCAGTTAGCTTAAATTGCATCCAGTGAGCGTTTATCCAACTAGCATTTCAGTGTATTTCCATACGCATACAGAACAACTAGTTTCGCCAGTTGGCTGGTGTCAATGCGCTCACAGTGTTTTCGTGGGCGTCCGGTGAAACGCATCCGCAGATCAGCACATATAACTGCATGATCGGTGTCCACACATGTGCTCTAAATCGCGCGGCAGTACTGGACGCAGACTCTCCAGCGGTAACTGATAGCAATGTGATCGATATGCGTCCATAGCTGGTTCGAGGCTAGTGGGCGCCAGGTCACCCTCCGGAGCATGGCGTGTCGGAAAGTAGGGCTCTCAAGAAATAAGCGGGCACCTTCACACAAATGAAGTACCCGCTCACGGTTATCATTCCGGGAGCCTACAACATGTTGACCTCCCAGATGCAGTTCATCTATGGATAAGTTTCCAACTTGAGCTTTCAAATCCCCAGCCAGCACAACAGTGTCCGCGCTTCTTCTCTGGCCAAGGAGCTCGTTCATTTAGCGGTAGAAGTCGTCTATTACCGAATCATCGCTGGTTTTTGGGCGCGACGCCAACACTAACCGTTGAGAGACACCGCAGTCCTCCTCAGTAGTAACAAAAATTTTGCAATGATCCCGACCGTGAAGCCACCGCTGAAGAAGGAAATTTCCAATAAATCCAAGGACACGGTTCCCAG